TTTAATTAAGTGGCGGGGGTGTCAGCCGTACGATTTTGGTTTTGCACCGCCGCTTTTACCCGGCAAACCACGGTGGTTTTTATTACAGGAGGCCAGTTTTTTAACGACCCCATACCATGACGAGTGAGAACGCAGTGTGGATCGCTGTTGCTTACAGATTAACACGCAAAGGATAAAGCTTTGTGAATACGGCAGTACACCAGACGCCCCTCTAACATTAAGCAACTTTGGCCAGCCTGAGCATGCATCAATGAAAGGGCAACAAGTGTGTAGATGAGCGCGAGTTCGTTTGTAGTAATACATTTTTTGCAAGGGTGCGTGTAAAACCCCCCCCCCCCCCCCCCAACCCCACCCCAGTTTTATTTGGATACGAACTTCTGCTATATCCTTATACAGTTTCAAGCACCGTGTGTATGCAGTCAGTCGTTCTGTGGCGACAATACAAGGGGGCGAAGAAAAATATTCGTGTCTGCTACTAAGTTAAATGCATATGGCAGATTGGAATATGACCTTATTATAACTTATCGACTAATCATAGGACAAGAGAAATTGGAATTTATAAAATGAAGAACATTTTATTAAATAAATCCATGTCATTGGAGGTTAGGATAGGAATTTTCGCATGCTATATAGAGCTAGTTTTAACACACGGCATAGTTCTGCACTCTGCGGGGAAAAAAACGTAACTATCCTGATAGAGCAGACCATGCTGTACGAGTCGCGGATCGAAGAAAATCACATGTACAAGCACGAGAAGAACTGTGAGCTCGTTGAGAGTGTGAGAAGAGATGACGAATTTGTAGTAAAATCTTCGCCCTCGAAGTAGGCGCAAGAGAGAAATGTACAATGTGCTAAGGTACCGAGCTTAAACGTGGAAACGAGCTCAGGCGGTCACTAAAACAGCTGACATGGTCCGAGTTCCTAGTAGAAAAGAGCTTCTTATCCCTACCCTTTAAAAGCCAAAGTGTCCGATAAATGTCTGCCAGTGTTTCTCTGTCGACGGTAACGTGCAGCAGTGGAAGACCGAGGCCTGGCTTCATGACCCAGGTCAGCCAACCTTCCGAGATTGTATAGGAAGTAATGGACTGAAACAATCGTCCACAAGAGATCTTCATACTGATAATAGATGGAGCCCTGCTGTACATGCTCCCCTGTGGAGTTCTTATTATTTACCGTTGTGAATATGTATTTACCTGGACTATTAATAAACAGGCCGAAATATTTCTTGCGGCCTCGGGGATGTGTTTTTACAGAGGTTAGTTAGTTGCGTATCCTTTAGATGGCATTGCAGAACCAATCCTAGCATTTTTAGGCTGTTGTAAGTTGTCTAGGCAAATTTAGGTCCAGTAGTTTGCGATCTTTTTCTGGATGGTCTGCTTTTCGATACTACTGTCGAACCATCGTAAGGCGCAAGGCCCGCAGATGGGATCGAACCCGGCACCCCGGCATTACGAAGCTTGTTTCGCAACGCCTAAGCCACAGATGCCAATTTTTATACACGAATCCTTAGAATTCCTTAGGCAGCTAAAAAGAGCATGCCAGATATTTTGAAAGAGGCACGGGCTCGAAGACGGCTTATCACAAACACCAAAAAGAGACAGTCATCGTTTTTGGTCTTGTTATCAGAAGAGAGAAAATGTAACATCAAGTGAACACTTAAACAATCTGTGGGAAGAGAGACAGACGAAGACAACGTCAGAGGATTCTTGACCGCCTAACCATTTTTGTTTCCAGGATACCTGTTTCTTCTGCTTTACGTCATCTTTTACCGCTTGTGGTTTCGAGAGAGATTAAAGGTCCTGCTTGGTGCTCATCTGACTACTTCGAACATAGACACATCCTGGTGCTGTAGTGTTTCTCTGATGTTATCTTTCCATCTTATTATTGGTCTAACTCCTTTTCTATGTCCCTCTTTTCTTTTGGTATATGCCTTATGGGGTATAGCATCAAAAAGCACTCTTTCTAAGTGGGTAAACCATTTGATTTGCTGTTTTTGTATATAATTTAGAATATTTTCTGTGCCGACTTTATCTCGTATGACCTCATTCCTGAATTCATCTCTTTTTGATTATGATAAATTGAAATGTATTCTGAACTTATCATCAGTGTATCGCTGTGTCTTCTTTTCTTCCGCCACGTAGGAGTAATGGACCCCTTTTCCCGCCTTTTGGTTGTATTGGGTAAATAGACCTAGATATAAATTTTTATAGTTCCCCGAGTCAAGAACAGCAAGTACTGACACTGTGTACATCACATGATGTGATACGATTTCGGGGAAAGGTTAACTTTTGGTTAGTGCAGATTACTGCTCGACTGTGCAGTCGTTTATAGTTTTCTTTGACATGGCACCTGTTCACCGGCCGGGCTTAAAGAAGAAGCCGATGCAGGACAGATTTAATCACTATGAAGATCAGGTCCCTAACGCATCTCTAGTCCTGCCCATGCATATCTTCGTGAACATAAAATACGTTAGCAAAGAAAGGCTTTAAACCTGTTTTCA